GAGCTCCCCACCGTGGTCCAGAGAGTGAAGAACTGAGAGTACCCAGAGATGGCTGCCTGCCGGAGGCCCAGAAATTTCATCCTGTAGCATGATTGCAGACACATGTTTAAAAAGACATAGGACTCAAAGGGACCGGGGAATGCAGAACAGTTTCAAATCTGCATAGAATCCAGACTTTCCAGAACCACTGAGTCCGGAGACCACCAAAACAATTACCCTGGAAGCATCTTCAGACCTTAACCCAACAACATCCCTGCAGGCTTCCTTAAACTGAACCATGGTTTAGCTTAATTGGTCATGGATGTCTTCTTTGAACATCGTGTCCTTTTAAAGACTAGCTATCTGGGATCAAATTGACCACAGTAACTCGAAAGTTTAGGTAGGACCTTGGCGGGTGGGGGTGGGAGGTAGTGGGTTTATATTAATGGGGGAATGAGTTGAAAACAGTAGCAGATGGTAGCACTGAACTGACATGTAGAAATCGGTGTGTGTTTTGCTGCTTATATTTTCAACCAACCGGTGAGAAAAACACAGGTTCCGTATTCTCTGCCATCAACAGATGTGCAAGCAATGAGCCTCTGCTGAAAAGGAGCGCCTGATGTTGCAAAACCCCTTCAGTGTTCTTGCGAGAGGGGCCCAGACCTAAACACCTCCTGTGAGGCATGGAGCATAGAGAATGGTGTCAGTTCCAGCATGGTTGGCACGCCCTTGGCCGGGCAAGCCACTTCATGGTGTGCCCTAACACCAGTGCCTGGGCCTAAGATCAGGGATCTGTCTGCAGAGAATCCGCCATCACCTGCCTGCTTCCTTTAAAACCCCAAGGGAGCCTGTGAGCTGCATGAGTCTAAGTTAAGTGCCCTTTGAAGTGTGCCATCCGTTCTCAGGGGGACACTGGCCATCTCTGTTGCCATTTGGACAGTGAGATGGGGAAGTTCTTTGAAAGGTCATCTCTGCCGCTTCTCATCCTCCCATACAGCAGAGAGTAAAAATACAGAAAGCACGCTCCCTAGGCCACCTAGAGGGCACGCAAAAAAGTCCTGTGGGAAAGAAACTCCATGAAGTGTTGGCATCTCCATCTCTGCCCCTTCCCTCTCCAGCCCCAGTTAACAAGGCACCATGCTTGCTAGCGGGCCAGGCAGCACGGGGATGTGTCAAGGGACAGCCAGTGGGTTTGCAGGAGCTTGTCTTTGGTCACGTCTGGGCTGATCTGTCTCCACAGAAAGAGTTTATGAAGCAAGTGCAGTCCAGCGGGGTGCTGATGGTCTTCTCCCAGGCCTGGATTGAGGAACTTTACCATCGCGTGCTTGAGCGGAACATGCTTGGCGAAGCTGGCTACTGGGGCAGTCCCGAGGACAACAGCCTGCCCCTCATCACCATGCTGACCGGTCAGTGCCTCTTCGTCCCAGGGCTCTGCAGCGTTCCTTAGGTGGGAAGGCTCATGCTTCAAAGGCCTCTTCAGAGAAGCAATGCTATTTCCATAAGATGTGGAAACAGCTCGACAGAGCTTCCTCTGGTGGCTCGGGAAGGTGGCACGGATTATTTCACAGATGCTTCCTGTCCTCTTCCCTGCAGGAGCTTGCAAGCCTCCCCGTGCTCCCATAAATTGGGGGCGACTTAGTACCTTGGTCTGTGGGTACGAAACCATAGCCTTTTCTGGGGCTACGTCGTACTTTCTGGGCACAAAGCCCAGAATTATTTCTGGAAGCGCTCGTGCACTCATAGATGCCCGATACTATTTGGCACTCATGGGATTTGACCAGTCAAATGGTGGGTTTTACACTTGGCCTCGTTCCCATTGGCTGCCCACAACAGAGGTTCTCCCTTCCCTTTCTAGGGGTAGCACTGGTAGAAGTTTAAATTGGCATCCACTAGGGTCCTCATATCTTGGTCTTCAGGATCCAGAGGGGTTTGTTTGTGTTTTGTTTTTTATTGTTTTATTAGGGGTTCATACGACTCTTATCACAATCCATACACACAATTGTGTAAAGCACATTTGTACATTCATTGCCCTCCTCATTCTCAAAACATTTGCTCTCCACTTAAGCCCCTGGCATTAGGTCCTCATTTTTT